ACCTAGGATTACTATGGAGAACAATAAAGCAGAACTTGGATCAGCTCAAAAATATTTAGGATGAGATCTTACCATACTGGAGAAAAGAAGTACACAGCCACATAAAAAAATTATGTTTTCAGTTTTAAACTTTTCTCTTTGCTCTTGGTTACCAAAGTATTACATAACGACTGTGGGAAATGTGCAAAATAAACTTTAGAGGAGTAGAGGAGAAAAATCCCCTATAATCTGATCCGAACGAATGTTCTAGTAAATTTCCCTTTGTTTTTATTTCTACGGATTTTTTAAAATTAAAGTTAAGATTCAGTTACAGAATTAATTAATTTGAAAATCAATTTCAAGTTGCAGGACAGTTATTGGATTTGCTTCTTGTTATCACTCTCTAAGCCTGGAAGATTTAGATTTCCTCTGGAAATAAGTGTGTAAGATTTGACTATACAATAATGATGATGATTTATAGCAAATCTCCTAGCACTTAACTGTCTAAGCGAGCATGTCCTCTTCAAAATAACTTGGGAGGCAGTGACAGGATGCCACCACGCATTTTACCGTGGCTGACTTTGCTCTTAATGTTTTGGAATTCTTGTGGTGTTATTTTCTGAGTCTATGGCGTGTGCGTGTGTGTGTGTGTGTGTGTGTGTGTGTGATGGAGTCTCACTCTGTCACTCAGGCTGGAGTGCAGTGGAGTGATCTCAGCTCACTGCAACCTCTGCCTCTGGAGTTGAAGTGATTTTCTTGCCACAGTCTCTCGACTAGCTGAAACTACAAATGTGTGCCACCACGCCTGGCTAATTTTTGTATCTTTAGTAGAGATGGGGTTGGCCAGGCTGGTTTCAAACTTCTCAGATGATCCGCCTGCCTTGGTCTCACAAAGTGCTGGGATTACAGGCATAAGCCACCACACCTGGGCTGTTTATGACACTTCCTTTGAGCATTTTCAGACTGACAAGGTCTCCTCTTTTGAGGGTGGGTTTGTTATTTAGAAACTGCCAACAGTTATAAGGGGTCAGGTTGGATGAATAAGGCAACTGATTCCTCAAACTGGGAGATATTCTTTTTGGTTGGGTCCAAAATGCCATGAAACTGACTTTCTCATGCAGTAAAAGCATTTTGAAGAGTAAATGTTGTAGTGGAAGGGGAGATTTACCCTCTATGAATCCCAAAGAATTCTATAGTGTGGAGTGGAAAATTGTGTCTGCAGGGCTCATTCACATGGGTTTTCTGACTTGTAATTACACTTTTGGTGGCCCAAAGCTATTTGTTTTACATGCTCCATGATAATTCCATTCTCAGCTTCTAGCAAAGCAGAACTATTTTATATTCAAATGTAAGACAGTCACTGAGGCAAATTGTTCTTAACCAATTAATTAGCTGAAACTGCATTTACCATCACCATTATCTTGAGATGTAGACGGCTGCTTCATGCTTTAATTATCCTGTTACTCATTTATAATGTTCTTTCTATTCATTTCAGATTACATTCTTTCCCTATTTTCCACATCAATCTGGTAGCATAAAAGAGAAAGTTAGATGGCCCTGTTGTTAGTATAGATTGTTAATATTTCTGAAGGTTGCACACAGAGTCATGTGTAGTTTTTTGATTCCTCAAGCTTGCCTAATATTTTAAGCACACAGTACAACTCTTCTCTATGTTCTTTTATCATGTTTCTTATATCTGACAGTAAAAGATAAGCATTAAAGAAAAATAATTCAAGGATCTTAGTATACACCTAGAAGAGCCAACAATATTTTAAGTATATTTTTTCTTACAAACTCTTCTTTCTTCCTGAGAAGTTATTATATATAAACAGTGAAGCAGAGAAAAACCCCAAATATATACATATATTAATTTTTTTTTTTTTGCTGTCTCATTGTTGTTCATTAGTTTCCTTATTCCTTAAGACTGGCTTCCTTTCCTTCATTAAAAACACTTTCCCCCCTTTTGGCTTAGTCAATTCTAAGAATTCCATAGCAGGAAAAAACAAGTACTATATTGTTTGTGTTCATATTGTGTTGTGATTTTGTTCCGGAAACACTAGGGGTTCAGTCTAGGTCCTCCTGATCAGTGCACAGAAAGCCAATCACTGAGATGACAAGTGTTGCCAAGGAAGAAGGCTTTAATCAGATACTGCAAGAGATGGGAGCTCAGCCTCAAATCCATCTCCCTGACTAAAACCAGGGGTCTTATAGCAGGGAAGAAGGGGAAGAAGTGTAAGAAAATGGGAACTAGGGGGAGGGGCAAGGAGGCATCTGGTGTCTTGATCTGCTGAGTTTCAGTTCTTTGATACTTCATTTGAGAGGCCTGAAGGTTCTCTCCTGAGGAAGGAACTCAGATAAAACAAATTTAAGTTTCTGTTCTCCTCCTTGCCCAGAAAGCCAATCACTGAGTGACCATTGCCAAGGAAGAATGTTTTAATCAGATGACATAGTCAAGCAGACAGGAGATCAGTCTCATCCATCTCTCTAAGTGACCAAAATTAGGGATTCATATAGTCAGGAAGAAACATAGTTATGTGTGAGAAAACAGGAATTCAGGAGGCGTAAAGAAGCAATCATGATGAATGAGGGGTCTGGCATCTCATTGTCTGGATAAGATGACCTGATGAGTTTCAGTTCTTTGATACTTTTTGACAGCCCTGGAGTCCTTTCCTGAGGCAGGAACTCAGATGAAACAAATGTAAGTTTCAAGTTTTAAGACCAGAAGGGTCAATTTCTTTTTTCCTGTTTTGTTTTATTTTATTTTATTTTTGTTGCTGTTGTTGTTGTTTTTGAGACAGAGTCTCACTCTGTCATCCAGGCTGGAGTGCAGTGGCACTATCTCGGCTCACTGCAACCTCCATCTCGCGGGTTAAAGTAATTCTCTGCCTTAGCCTCCAGAGCAGCTGGGATTACAGGCATGTACCACCTTGCCCAGATTTTACCATGGCCTTTACCATGCCCAGCTAATTTTTGTATTTTTAGTAGAGATGGGGTTTTACCATCTTGACCAGGCTAGTCTTGAAATCCTGACCTCATGATCCACCCACCTTGGCCTCCTAATGTGCTGGGATTACAGGTGTAAGCCACTGCACCCAGCTGGGTCAATTTCTATGTTTATCCAAAACAACAACAACTACTACTACTATTACTACTGGTCTGAGACTACTGAGTTGGTTTCACATCGACTGTCTCTGGAAATACAAACAAGACCTGGTTACATTGGTTGTCTTGGAGAGACATTGGACAGCAGGGGGTGGGGAGAGAAAGAAACTTGACCACATTTTTTTTTTGAACCTTTTGAGTTTTGGACCATGAAGAACACAATGCCAATTACTAATTTAAAACACAAAATAACTACCAGTTTAAAAAAGAGAAAAATCAAGGAAAAAGAATAGAAAAACTCTCTGTTGGTCTGAATCTGGAATTTGGAGTGAAGGTCAAAAGAAAACCATTCCCTTTCTTGCTAACTCCATCTCTTCTTCTCTATTTCTCTTTCACTTTGGCCGACAGCTTTCAGCTTTGACTGATGGAATAGGAACTAAGAATCCACAGGTAGCAAAGGCATTAAGAGTCCTCAAGCTGTCCCTAACCTCTGCAGGCTCCTCAGTAGACAGATGGGAGTCTGTCACAGAACACAGACACAGTCCAGCTCCTTTGGCTTGCTCATCATAGCCTTATCCGGTACATGTGGCAAATAAGTAGCTTCTGGTCAATGTGTTGAAAGCTGTGTCCTTCTTGAAGTTCTCTAGGAGTGTTCTTGTTTTTTGCTATTCACAGTACTTATGTTTTTCTCACCTGTGAGCCTTCCAGCATGTGGTTCTCACTTTGTACAGCTATTACCAACCCTTAAGTTTCTCTTTCTTTTTGAGATGGTCTTTCTCTGTCACCCAGGCTGGAGTGCAGTGGTATGATCACAGTTTGCTGCAGCCTTGACTTCCTGGGCTCAAGCCATCCTTCTGCCTCAGCTTCTTGAGTAGCTGGGACTACAGGCATATGCCACCATGCCCAACTGATTTTGTTTACTTTTGTAGAGTTGTGGCCTCACCATGTTGCCCAGGCTGGTCTCAAACTCCTAGGCTCAAATGATCCTCCTGCCTTGGCCCACCAAAGTGCTGGGATTATAGGTATGAACCATTGCTCCTAATCCAGAGAAAGTATTATAGTTTTAACTGACTCAAATGCGTCAACAGTGTGATAGTGTGACTTTAAAATTTAATGCACATAGATTATCTTAAAATAAAGACACCAGGTTTTGGAATCAGGAAGTAGAATCCCCTTTGGCTTACTCAGATCAGCCTGCAGTATTAGAACAGTACCTTCTAAGCACATTTACAGGTCAGAGTGCATCTGGAGCTGTGGTTTTCAGACTATGAGTTGTTACCCATGAATGAGTATGGAACCCATTTAAAATGGACAGCAATCAGCTGGGCGTGGTGGCTCACGCCTGTAATCCCAGCACTTTGGGAGGCCAAAGCAGGTAGATCCCAAGGTCAGGAGTTCGAGACCAGATTGACCAACATGGTGAAAGTCTGTCTCTACTAAAAATACAAAAATTAGCCCAGCGTGATGGCACACACCTATAATCCCAGCTACTCAGGAGTCTGAGGCAGGAGAATCACGAACCTGGGAGGCAGAGGTTGCAGTGAGCTGAGATTGCGCCACTGCACTTCCAGCCTGGGTGACAAAGAAAGACTCTGTCTTAAAAAAAAAAAAAAGGGATAGAAAACAGCATTAAAAAAAAAGTAGTACATGAGGCCAGGCGCAGTAGCTCACACCTGTAATCTCAGCACTTTGGGAGGCTGAGGCAGGCAGATCACCTGAGGTTGGGAGTTTGAGATGAACCTGACCAACATGGAGAAACCCTGTCTCTACTAAAAATACAAAATTAACCACGCATGGTGGCATGTGCCTGTAATCACAGCTTCTTGGGAGGCTGAGGCAGGAGAATCATTTGCACCTGGGAGACGGTGGTTGCAGTGAGCCGAGGTTGTGCCATTGCACTCCAGCCTGGGCAACAAGAATGAAACTCCATCTCAAAAAAAAAAAAGTACACAATAGAGTAGGCTAGAGTTGAATTAGAAAATATACGAGTTTAAGGCAGTTAATGAAGCTAAATATTGTTTTACAAAACTTTTGTTTCAGTTATATGTATGTTTATGTGTACCAATCATATATAAAATGGATTTCTTTCTGTAGGTCATAGTCAGCAAAGTTCAAGAAACACTAATGCAGAGGAAAATATCCTGAAGGTGAGAGAGATGAGTACCTGGTTACTTAAGAGACAGTTGCAAGCATCAGGAATGTTTAGCTTGAGGAGACTAAAACACACAGATAAACTGTCTTCCGTTAGTTGAAGGACTATTATGAAGAGAAAAGAACAACTTTGTTCTCTGTTATTTCAGGAGATGGGGAAGGAGTTTTTGTTCACTATCCAGACGAACTATCTGACAATTGGAGCTGTCCATCAGTGGAACTGCAAAATAACACGCTGTAGGAGTGCTTAAGCACAAGACAGGAGACCATCTGTCAGGGTTACTTGGCAGAGATTTCTATATGGGGAGAGAGGGTTGAATTAGACATCCTTGAATGTCCCTTTCAACTCAAAGTTTCAACTATTCTATTTTCTCCTGTGGGGGTGTTTGAGTTTCATAAGTTTGTGCTTCAGATCAGGTGATTAATTCAGCAGATGCTTTAAACAAGTGGTATTGCCTGTGAATGGAAACACACAAAAAATGCAATTCACTAATTTGCTGATTAATTTGATAACATCATGCATCATATTCAATTTTTAGCAATGACTTATCTATTTTATTGGTGAGATTATTGAGGTCACTTGGATACTTGGGTAGAAGGACGAATATAGTCCAAGCTTCCCGAGTTTAAGTTTTACACGTAACTACAACAGCCTCTCAACCTTGAACATCATCACCGACATTAGTCAGGTTGTGGCAGAGACCCCCATGGATTCTGACCTTAATATCTGTTCTGCTTGCTTGTAGCAGAACTGCCAGTTTTTACCTGGGCCCGTGACTATGCACAGTAAACACCGTATTCCCAAGCTCCCTTGCAGCTACATACGGTCAACTGGACTCAGTGATGTCCAGCATGATATGAATGGAAGGCAGTTCCTGGGAAACTTGACAGAAAGATGGCTGACATGTGCTCTTACTCTCCTTACTTCTTCCCTTTTTCCTCATTCTTCCTCTTAGGTGGGTTTCGAGCTGCCATCTTGAACTGTGAGGTGGGAAATGCGTGCTGAGGAGGGTGGAGCTTGGGTGGCCAAACCCATGCAAGAGCCATACCAGCCCAGCAATGGATCTTCCACAGGACGGACAAAGAAAGGAAGAAACTTCTGTCTCATGTACGCCAATTCTCTTTGTTATGTGCAAGGTTAATTGATAAGCCTGGTCTCCTTCTCACCCCTGGACACTGGGTGCCGAACCTTTATTTGCTGCAACAGTGACAGGATGTCAGATTTTAGGTGACTGTGATTTTGGACAGAACCCAGATTTCAGAGAACTCAGAAAGCTTGTACAACCCTTCTCATTGTCTCAAGACAAGGGGAGTTTGAGATGTTCCCCCTGTGTTCACGCAGTTTGGCTGAAAGGATATTGCAGAGTCCCTGTACAAAGAGCAAAAAAATGATGTATAAGACACGAAGATGGAACTTTCCCATTCTACTGCCACTGTCTCCTTTTAAATTTGCAGTAACAAGTAGAATCTGCTAGATCTTCTGGTCAGACTGATTCTACATCCACACTTGTAACTTCATCTGGTGACTCAAAATCACTGTAATATTTGAGGGTAACAGACAGTAGACTTTCTGAGTCCCGATTCTGAGCTCTACCCATAGTGGTATTCAGTGGTCCCCCTTGGTGATCCTTGGGAATAAAAGTGATATATTGGAAGTTGGTACCACACATACATGTCTTGCATAAACGTACAATATTAGAATGAGAAAAAGTTTAGAAAGGCAAGTCATGGTTTTAAGAATGTGATTTCCATAGGAACTGAATTTGAAGGGTCTATGACATTATGGAGACTTGATCCAGAGTATGAGGTTCTACTAAGAGTTTCTTTAAAAACTTCATTTTATGGCCAGGTACAGTGGCTCACGCCTGTAATCCCAGCACCTTGGGAGGCCAAGGCGGGTGGATCACTTGAGGTCAGCAGTTTGAGACCAGCCTGGCCAATGTGGTGAAACCCCGTCTCGATGAAAAATATAAAAATAGGGCTGGTGTGGTGGTGGGAGCCTGTAATTCCAGCTATTTGGGAGGCTGAGACAGGAGAATCCCTTGAACCCAGGAGGCAGAGGTTGCAGTGAGCTGAGATCGTGCCACTGCACTCCAGCCTGGGCAACCGAGTAAGACCTTGTCTCAAAAAAACAAAGAGAGAGAAAGAAAGAAAATTATTTCTTAAATAGTCACTTATAGTGAGAGGCATCTAAGAAAATTAGCACAGACCTCTAAAATGTGACTGTAACACACACACTTTCTTTTCTCTCTCTCTCTCCTTTAAAATGAACCACCAGGCTATCACGCTCATAAAAACAAAGAGAGTAATCTACTACACTATAAAAGCAGAATTGCTTTATTTACTTTTCAGAAGGATTTTTTTTTTTTGGCTATAAATACATTGATTTATTTCTGGATTTTTCATTCTGTTCCATTGATCTATGTATCTGAGATTTTTTTTTTTTTTGGTGAATATCTTTAATGTGAGAGATACGTGATGAAACCACAATCACTAAATATCCATAAAAGATGAAATGTGTCAAGTGGTGATGACAGGAATCTCTTACTTCATATTTGGCCTCCCGCTGTGTCACTTTGGGCCAATCAGGTCTCTCAATGCTTTAGTTTCACCAACTCCCAGGAGAAAGCAGTACCTGCTTCTCAAAGATAGACGTGCACTATTGTCTTGACTTGACGTCTGCTCTCATTACTACTAATATTTTATGAGAAAAAGAAGCATTTTGAGCCTTGGTAGCTAGTTGTTTTGATAAAATAAAATTCTAGAGGAAGAAGATAATTTGGGTAAACACACGGATGCTTATTGAGATGAAACTTACTTATGTGTGGTCTGCACTAAATCATCACAAGGGCCACATCTAATTTAAATGAGATGCCTCTAAAATTCTGCCAGCTTGAAGAACTTCACTTACAGGAGTCTGCTGACAGTGAGGTATTTCTCTCCTGCCCCTACAGAACGCTGCATTACTCATTCTCAGCCTTTTCTCCCAGGTAACCCCGCCTAGTATCATCACCAAATTAGGCGATCCTGCGAGTGAGTTTTCCTCCTGTTTACTGGAATTGTTTAATGAACAGGAGGATTTTTAAAGGGATAGCTGGTCTATTTAGATGTCATTTCCTTTTTGATATTTTGGATTCATTATCCGGAGAGATTAGCAGCATGTAGGATACTGGTTCTCAAAAACAGGGCACAACAGAATCACTTGGGGAAATTAAAAAATATATTGGCCTGGGCATTGGGGTTTGTAAAAGTTCCCCAAGTGACTGTAATATGTGTGTCTGTTGGGGAGAGAGGAGTTGTTAAGAATTGATGTTGCTTGCACTCTCTGAATTCCAGAATCCACAGCCAATAGTAAAATTAGTTGCTAATAATTGAGCACCTGCAGGGCCATGCACTCTGGAAAGTGCTTTGCATGCATGATGTCATTGTATCGTCACCACAACTGCATCAAGCCCTGGTGATAATCTTCACCAGCTACTAATCTAAGATGGGATGACAATCAAGATTCATTCTAACCATAAAATAAGGCAGAATACTTTTCATGAGAGAATGTAAATTACTAACAAAGTTCAAAGTGGGGAAAGCATGCTATACATTGGAAATATCAAGATCGATGACATTTGAGGCTCAGTGGTGTGCTAGAGCCAGCTCATGCTGGTCTTTGAGAAATGATAGCCAATTTTTCAGAAATTTTGTCATCCAGTTGATGTCAGACTGGTAGCTCGAAATTGGCTGAGACAAACTGAAAAAAATGGGCAGACACTACAAATTAGAGGGTTTTTTTTTGAGACGGAGTTCTGCTCATTACCCAGGCTGGAGTGCAATGGCGCGATCTCGGCTCACCGCAACCTCCGCCTCCTGGTTCAGGCAATTCTCCTGCCTCAGCCTCCTGAGTAGCTGGGATTATAGGCACGCGCCACCATGCCCAGCTAATTTTTTGCATTTTTAGTAGGACGGGGTTTCACCATGTTGACCAGGATGGTCTCGATCTCTTGACCTCGTGATCCACCTGCCTCGGCCTCCCAAAGTGCTGGGTTTACAGGCGTGAGCCACCGTGCCCTGCCACAAATTAGAGTTTTATCTGCCCAGAGAGCTGATTGTTAAATATTTACCAGAATACCACCAATGGACCTTAAAAGATATGTAGCATTTCACCCACCCTGGTGGTGGGGTTGGGATATGATAGATAGAGAGAAGAATATAATTGAAGATAAGGAGTGGGGGAGAGAACGCAGGGTTGTTCAGATAAGAAAACGTGGCCTATTGACCAGGATGAGAGGCAGCTAGAAAGGAAAAATATGGCCAGGCCAGTTTACCTGGATAGGATACAAGTGCAATAACAGGAGTTGCAATTACAAAGCTTGGTGGGAGGGCCCTGTTAGATCTGACCTTCAATGCAAATGCCCAATAGAGCCCAACACATAGTAAGTGTTAATAATCTTTCCCCCTCTTCGTTTCTCAAATAAAGTTCAAACTCTGGAGCATAGTGGTGTGATTACAGCTCACTGCAGCCTCAACCTTCCAGGCTCAAGGGATCTTCCCACCTCGGCTTCCTGAGTAGATGGGATTATGGATATGCACCACCATGCCCCGCTATTTTTAAAAAAAATTTTTGTAGAGACAGGGGTCTCAATATGTTGCCCAGGTTGGTCTCAAACTCCTGAGTTCAAGCAATCCTTCCCCCTTAGCCCCCACAAACTATTGAGATTACAGGCGTGAAATACCACATCTGGCCAAAGGTAGGTGTGTTTTAAAATAGATGATGAAGTCAGCCAGAGTGCTGTGCATATGTGGTCCCAGCTACTCAGAATGCTGAGGCAAGAGGATTGCTTGAGACCAGGACATAAAAGCCAGCCTAGGCAACCTAGTGAGACCCTGTCTCAAAAAATTTTTTTTGACATTAGACAATGAGACAGGATTAAGGACATTTAGAAACTGGACCAATTAAGCAAAGACCTGGAACCAACCCAAATGCCCGTCTATGATAGACTGGACAGGGAAAATGTGGCAGATATACACCATGGAATACCATGCAGCCATCAAAAACGAGGAGTTCGTGTCCTTTGCAGGGACATGGATGAAGCTGGAAACCATCATTCTCAGCAAACTGACACAAGAACAGAAAATCAAACACCTCATGTTCTCACTCATAGGTGGGCGTTGAACAATGAGAACACATGGACACAGGGAGGGGAGCACTACACACTGGGGTCGGTGGGGGGAAAATAGGGAAGGGACAGTGGGGGGTGGGGAGTTGGGGAGAGACAGCATGGGAAGAAATGCCAGATATAGGTGATGGGGAGGGAGGAAGCAAATCACACTGCCACATGTGTACCTATGCAACAATCTTGCGTGTTCTTCACATGTAGCCCAAAACCTAAACTGCAATTTAAAAAAAAGAAAGAAAGAAACTGGACCAATTAGTTGTGTACAACTAATTATTGAGCCTTATGGCAGTAAAATGAGATGAATAGTGACACTAAGATGTGACTGGGAGGATGGAGAATGGCAGTACCATCTGTAGAAATATGCAAGAATTCAGAGTTGGCTCGCTGAGTCTGAGTACACACATGTAGTAATTCCTGGAAGCAAAGGTGGAATTTGGGAGAGAAGCTGGGGCTTGAGGTGCGGTTTGCAGGCCGCTACCTGGGGTGGTAAGCCAAGCCCCTATTGCATTTCTTTCTTTTATATTTTTTTGAGACAGAGTCTTGCTTTGTCACTAGGCTGGAGTGCAGTGGCGTGATCTCGGTTCACTGCCACCTCTGCCTCCCTGTCTCAAGTGATTCTCCTGCCTCAGCCTCCTGAGTAGCTGGGAGTATAGGTGTGTGCCACCATGCCCGGCTAATTTTTGTATTTTTAGTAGAGATGGGGGTTCACCATGTTGGCCAGGCTGGTCTCGATCTCTTGACCTCGTGATCCACCTGCCTCGGCTTCCCAAAGTGCTGGGATTACAGGCGTGAGCCACCATGCCCGGCATGGTTCTTTTGATCTGCTGGGCTTTAGGCCCTGGTTGACACTCTGCTTGTATCCGCAGTGATGTCAGGGACCACAGATCAGCTCCAGCTCAGCAAAAGTACTAAGAATTCTGCAGACTGTCCACAATGTCCATAGAGATTCAGGCCAATCTCTAGAAGCTGGGCCTTCTTGGGAGGCTCAAACCTCCCCAGACTCTTGAATTTTCAGCTATGATTTCAGTTCTCAGTGTGTAGAAACTCTGAAGTTCACTCTGGTTTCTTTCTGGCTCTCAGAACTAGGAAAATCTGGCCTTTGGTTTTCCAGAATGAGGCAGATTTCCTGAATGCATCCCAGTTTAGGCCTGACCATCTGATGAGAGCTGATGTCCAGCTTGCCCTGCATCTCCCTGTAGCTGTGACACACAGTCCACTCGAGCAGAGCTTAAGGAATAGACGTGAGGGTTAGAATAGTCCATTTTAGCGATGGCTACTCTGTCCACTCTCACTGCTGACAGATGTCCTGACCTGAGGATTCTCCCACCACACCTTGAAAAAACTCCTGAAGCCCAAAGACCAACCAGGTGTGGAAAGCACTGCTTTTCTGTTTGTTTGTTTGTTTTTAAACCAAACCCTTACATGCTCTGAAGAACATCTTTTAATCCTAGACTGCATTAAAAATTTTCTGAGTACAGATTGTTCCAATTAAATTCTTAAATGTCATAAGTTTCTTAAAATAAAACTCCTTAGAATAAACCAATCAGCTGTTCTGGATCACAGCCAACATAAATCAAAGTACCTAACCAGATGGGGATTCTGTAAACTAAAGGTAAGAGCAGTTGTTCACAGCACAGGGCCCAATGAGAAAAGCTAAAGGCATCAGACAGGCCATTTTGCCTTTTCAAATTGTTTTTCAAAACACAGGGTAACATCCTAATAAACAAATGAATCATGCTTCCTGCAGCACCTGTTCACAAACAGAAACCCCAAAATATGACTGCAATGTTCCGAGAAAAACAAAAAAAGAGGCCATTGTCCAGTTAGCAAAACACCTGAATTTATTGAGAGTGTGGGAGGAATCCAGCAGCTGCTTGGATACAGCCTGGAGAGAAGGCTGTGAGAAACATCCCTGATCGCAGTCTCCATTTCGCCTGTCCTAGGCCATCAGCAAGATGCAACCTGCTCTGACCCACCAGCCTGGTTCTGCTCACCATGCCACCGAAATCCAGCAGGCTCCTTGGCAATGAGAAGATGCAACTGTGTTAGCCGTGGTTTTCTGCAGAAGGACTGGCCCTGGCCCTCACCACAAACATGAACCCTGCATTGAGCCTGAGTTATTGCCCTGATGCTGAGAGCAAAATTAATTCTGTTTCAAAAAAAAATAAATGCTTTCTGAGAAACTAAGAGGAAAGTGATGCCACCCCATATCTTGCTACCCAGCTGGGCGGGGACCCTGTGAGCTGTCAGCACCAGTATGGGAGAAGTGGGGTGGAAGAGAGCCCAGGCCAAGGTCAGATACAGACAAGAACAGAGGCAAGTCTCCAAGTCCGGGATGCGGAGCTGTCCGCACCACAGGGCATTGGGCAAGCTCAGGATGGAGTCAACAGCTGGAGGTGCCAAGTTGGAGCAAGGGCACTCTGTGGGCATCCAAGAGCTGAGCTGCAAGGATGGGAGAAGGGGTCAGCAGAGAGTAAGGGCACGCTACCCCCTTTCTTTGCCTGATTTACCACTACTCATCTTTTGTACCTTGGCTCAGACCCCATTTTATCTCAAGAGAGGCCATCGTCCTGCGATTCTCCTCCACAGCACCTACCACTGAAGTGAGTTAATTGGGAACTGATTTTGGAGTCCTCCCTGCCAGAACGTAAACTCCATGCGCTAAGCACCCCCTCTGTCTTCTTTATGGCCACATTTTCTGGTACCCAGCACTGTGTGTGGCCCATTGTCAGCCCTCAGTATATCTTACTGGGAGGAAGGAAAGATGAATAAAGTGCACAAAAGAGGAAGGGGGTAGAGAGGAAGGATGGAAAGGAGAAATCAGAGGGAGGTGCACACAAAGCTGTGTCTTGTTCCGTAGACTGCTTCTGAGGAGCTGCTGGTAGGCTTGTAAATGCAGGTGGGTGTGGCTGACCCCAAGGGCATAGCACGCCCCAGCCCAGTTACTGACCTGTGTGGTAGACATTGGAGGGCACGTGGTTTAAGAACCTGGCACATAAATCCTTCCTGGAAAAATAATCACATTGTATTTCTTGGTGTTTCATCTCTTGATGGGGGTTTTTCTTTCTCCAGTGTTTGAGATGAAAACAAGCTGTGACCTGAAACTATAGCTACTCCTCAAGGATGACGGTATGTTGGAAGCATGTAGTTACAATGCCCATTAGGGATCATCTACCATTGTGAAGAACAGGCTAGAGGAACAGAGTCTCTTAATCCTTGGATTTACCAAAACAGGATGCACCTCTGAAAAAAAAGACAAGCATTTACAATACCATTGTAAATAAAACCTAATGGAAGACATCTGAAGGCTACAGGCAAATGAACAGCCTTAAGCCTGCATCTTACAGGGAAGGCCCTTTGCCAATAGCTTTGATACCAGTGGAGCTGCTGATGTTGATCATCCAATCTGTAGCAAGGTGGGAGCCCAGGAGTGCGAAGGCGATTGGGACGCTGCGGTTGGGAGTGTTGGTTGAGTGAGAGGAAGCAGTGGTCCTGAAAGTTGAATGTTCCTATCATTTAACTGGGGCTGAGTAGGTCTGAGAAGGGGCCTTAGATTTTGTGTTTTTTTGAGACAGTCTTGCTCTGTCGCCAGGCTGGAGTGCGGTGGCGCCATCTTGGCTCACTGGAACTTCTTCCCCCTGGGTTCAAGCGATTCTCCTGCCTCAGCCTCTCAAGTAGCTGGGACTACAGGCACGCATTACTACGCCCAGCTAATTTTTGTATTTTTAGTAGAGATGGGGTTTCACCATGTTGGCCAGGATGGTTTCCGCCTCTTAACATTGTGATCTGCCCACCTCGGCCTCCCAAAGTGCTGGGATTACAGATGTGAGCCACCACGCCTGGCCTAGATTTTGCTTTTTTAACAAGTAATGTCTATGCAGGTGAGTGTTAAGAAAAAACTTAAACAGTTTTTCCTCTGCTCCCACACTAACACAACAGTTATCAACACAGACAGAAGACTTCTGTCACCGCCAAATTTGACGGGATTTCTCCCCATCACCAAGCAGCCCATCTGTTCTGCAGTGGACATCAGCTGGGTGCCCTCTCATTCAATTCTGACATCATCTACCGGAAGATAGTGTCAGATCCCACCGGTCTGACACTACAGACATCACAGGTACATGCCACCATGCTCAGCTAATTTTTAAAAATGTTTTGTAGAGATGGGGTCTCGCTATGTTGCCCAGGCTGGGACTCAAGCAATCCACCCACCTCAATCTCCCAAAGTGCTGGGATTACAAGCGTGAGTCACCGCACCTGGCCTTAACACTCACATATTTCTATTTGACTAGTTCTTTGAGCTGGAAGGAATAAAGGGGTCACTCAACCTAGTTCAAGCAATGAGGTTTATGGTGAAGAAATTGCAGGCCGGGCACACTGCGCCTGTAATCCCAGCACTTTGGGAGGCCGAGGGGGGCAGATCATCTGAGGTCAGGAGTTTGAGAACAACAGCCTGACCAACATGGAGAAACCCCGTCTCTACTAAAAATACAAAATGAGCTGTGGTGGCATGGTGGCGCATGCCTGTAATCTCAGCTACTAGGGAGGCTGAGGCAGGAGAATCGGTTGAACCCGGGAGGTGGAGATTGCAGTGGGCCGAGATCATGCCATTGCACTCTAGCCTGGGCAACAGAAGTAAAACTCCGTCTCTAAAAAAAAAAAAAAGAAAAAAGAAATTGCAAAGCAGTGAGTAATGGAAACTTCTGGAAAACAGGATTTTCAGACTAGCCAGGCCTGGAAGAGACTGGAACCAGGTATCATCCTGAGTCCAGGCAGCTCAAGGCACCTCAGGGCAGAGGCTTGTGTAATTCTTCATCTCTTGCTGTTTTTTGAAGGGCTTTCTTCTGTCTCACAGCTTTCCCGACCCCATGCTTCTCTTAACTTTTGCCAGCTCACGGCCTCTCAGAGCCCCTCCTGAAACTGTTTCCGCTTCCTTTCAGCATCTTCCCCACCGAAGACAGGATCCTTGCTAGTTGCCTAATTCAGGCTCTCAAGAGCAAGAAGCTGACCTGCTGCTCCCGGTGGGCAGAGCACATCACCCAGGTGCCCCAGGGCCCTGCCAGCCTGTAACCGGCTTCTCAGTCAGGCTGGGTGTGCCCCAGCTTTCCAAACACCTGGGGCAGAGCAGGGGCAGGATGGGCCTCATAGTACAACCTTGCTGCCAGGAGAGCACGTGCTGACTCCTGGGAAGGGCCTTTTAAAGATACGGTGGGTGTGGTATTTGCCTCCTCTGTGAAGTCCACAGCTGGCTGAGCTCCAAGCTTTGCGGTCCTTGGAGAGTTAGTTGATCTAGGTGGCTCTCTGAGGAAAAAAAAAAAAAATCTTCCGTAGGGGTGGGGGAGTCATTTTTCAGCCTGCCTGCCTGCCTTCCTTCCTTCCTTTCTTTTTCTTGCTTTCTTTCTCTCATTCTTTCTCCCTACTTTCTCATTCCTTCCTTCCTTCCTTCCTTTCTTCCTTCCCTTCCTCCCTCTCTCTCTCTCCTTCCTTCCTTCCTTCCTTCCTTCCTTCCTTCCTTCCTTCCTTCCTTCCTTCCTTCCTTCCTTCCTTCCTTCCTTCCTTCCTTCCCTTCCTCCCTCTCTCTCTCTCCTTCCTTCCTTTCTTTCTGTCTTCCTTTCTCTCTCTCCCTCCCCTCCCCTTCCCTTCTCTTCCTTCTTTCTTTTCTTTCTTCTTTCTACAGGGTCTTGCCTTGTTGCCCAGGCTGGAGTACAGTGGTGTAATCATCAGCCTCCCAGGCTCAAGCGATCCTCCTGAGTAGCTGGGATCACAGGTGTGTATCACCACACTTGGCTAATTATTTTGTAGTTTTTGTAGAGATGGGGTCTCACCTTATTGCCCAGGCTGGTCTCAAACTCCTGGCCTCAAGTGCTGCTCCCTCCTTGGCTTTCCAAAGTGCTGGGATTACAAGCATGAGCCACTGCAACTGACCTATTTTTCAGTTTTTGAAGGCTTGGTGGTTTCCCAAAACTTTCACTTGGGGTTCCGCATGTTAATTAAGACGAAACCCCAGCCGGGCACGTGGGCTCACGCCTGTAATCCCAGCACTTTGGGAGGCCAAGGCGGGCGGATCACAAGGTCAGGAGTTTGAGACCAGCCTGGTCAATATGGTGGAACCCCGTCTCTACCGAAAGTATAAAAAAAAATTAGCCGGGTGTGGTGGCACATACCTGTAATCCCAGCTACTCAGGAGGCTGAGGCAGGAGAATTGCTTGAACCCAGGAGGTGGAGGTTGCAGTGAGCTGAGATCGCAACACTGCACTCCAGCCTGGGCAACAGAGGGAGAATCTGTCTCAAACAAAAAACAAAACAAAACAAAATAAACAAACAAAATACTAAACCCCTGATTCCTCCCCACATCCCCACGCCTGGGGGATGATTAGGTCAGGGCCCGGCTGTCCCAGCTCTTCCTGGAGGCTGCTGGAGGCACTCTATACATCTCCCTTAGGGCAGCAGCCGCTCACTCCTGCTAATGTTTATTGAGCACTTGATCGGCTAGGTACAGTTCTCAGACCTGGGGATACAGTACTGAACCCGAAAGACAAACACCTCTGTCCTCATAGAGCTTCTGTTCTGGTGGGGAGAGGCAGTTCCTAAATAACAAATGTGTGAATGATACCTTCTGTTAGAAGGTGATAAGTGCTTCAGGAAAAGAAAACATGTCAGAGTAAGTGGAGTAGGAAGCGTGGGGGAGGGGAGGAGGCCGACGGTGAAATGCTTGGGAGCATGGGGAGGGTAAGTCACTGAGGAGCTGTTATTTGAGCCAAGTCTTGATGGAGGTGGGGGAAGTTTTGAGAATTTTGTAATATCCCTCAGGACAAGGAGTAGAGGCAGCTTGGAGTCTTGTGAAAGCAACGCTGAAAACTCCAGGAATAAACGGTGGGGAGGTAAGATCCTGACAAGTCAGGAATATTCCAACTCTTTGCACCAAACGGGGCAGAACAAATATTTAGGAGGAGTGACAGTGAGAGGATTTGAGGGTCAAAAGCAGGGTCAAAGGGTCAAAGCAGAAGTAGGAGAAATTACTGCAAAGTCCAGGTTCACGTCAGTGTATTATTCTTTTCATTTTTTTGTAAAATGTTCTGAAATTTTTCAAAATAAAGCTGGTAAAATACTTTGTCCTGATAATGGCATTGCAGCTTTGTAGGAGAATGGCCTTATTCTTTTTTGTTTTGTTTTGTTTTTGAGACAGGGTCCTGCTGTGTCACCCAGGCTGGAGTGCGGTGGCACAATTGTGGCTCACTGAAGCCTTGACCTCTGGTGCTCGGTGATCCTCTTGCCTCAGCTTCCTGAGTAGCTGGATGTACAGGCAAGTGCCATCATGCCCAGCTAACTTTAAACTTTTTTATAGAGATGGGGTCTTGCCTTGTTGCCCAGGATCCTTGAACTTCTGGACACAAGCAAACCTCCTGCCTCAGCCTCCTAAAGTAGGATTACAGGTGTGAGCCACCACGCCCAGGCACATTATTCTTCAGAGATGAAATGTTTAGGAAGAATATGACATATGTCTGCAACTCTTCCAAATAGTTCACAAAATGTGTTTTATCGAGACAGAGAGATAAAGCAAATATGGCAAGATGTTACCAATGGACAAATTCAGGTGAAGTAGATGTGATGTACCATTCTTTCAACTTTTCTATGGTTTTGAAAA